TGGTTCTAACTGGTAAAAATTTTCTAGATTAGCCTGATTGGCGATTACACCGCGTTTTTGCAGGTCTTCAAAAAACTCTGAGAGATTAGCAGACATATTATTATTTTTTTGGTTTTTGAGAGCTTAGGGGATTAACTTTTGCTTTTTTGGCCAAGAAAAATACTAAACCGACTAATAATATGGTTAATATTCCGATTCCGATAACTCATTCCAGCGGGAATTTATCTGAATCGGAAAGTTGTTGAGTGCTATTTTCTAACTGAGATAACAAGTTGCGGGCTTTTTGGCGGTGGGCTTTTCTATAAACATTATTGCTATAAGCAAAAGTTAAAATTTCTTTTTTCAAATTTTCAATTTGCTCTTTTTCACCAGATTTCACCACTTCGGTTACTTTTTTTTCTAGTTCGGTTAATTGCTTTTTGGCTCCCGCTTGGCCTATATTTTTATGAATAGTGCTTGATTTTTCTCTTATTTCTCTTATTTCTCTTATTTCTCTTATTTCTCTTATTTCTTTTACAACTTCGCTAGGCAATTCCTCCTCGGTCAGTTGGTTTTTCTTTAAACTTTCTTTAATGGCTCCTATAAATCCTTTTAGACATTCCAAAGGGTCTTGGGTGAATAATTTTTCGGCCACCCTTTCCAGTTGAGATTTTTCCTCTGCCAAATCTTCTTCACCATCAATTTTGCCTAAATTTTTAAGGGCTTTGACTTGTTGGGCGACGGAAGCCTGAGGAGATTGAGCGGCACACAAATCATTTTCAATTTCAGTTTTGTGGGCTTGCTTTTCGGTTCGGAGGGTTTGTTGAACTTCCTCCACTAACGAACGCCAATTCTCATTGATAGGAAAAGGGGGAGGAAGGGGTAAATCAAACTTTACTAATTTAGCCTCTAAATCAGTTAATAATTTTTCATTAGCAGTTTTGTTTTCGGCTCAGACTTGGGCTTCCACACTATCGCCGGCTGCCCTAGTTAAGGTTTTTAAATCAGTAAGGGCTTGTTGGGTTTGCTCCTTGGTAGCGGTGGATTTTTCCAAAACTGCTTGGGCGGAAGTGATAAGGGATTTGATTTGCCTAATTTGTTCGGTTTTGGCTTGCCGCAAACCTTCAATTTCAGTTATTATTTCTGCTTTTTTGCTGGCTCGTTCATTGTCCTTCTCCGCTAATTTTATCATTTCAGCACTATAATCTAGGTTCAAACTAACGGCCGGGCTTTCATTAAGTTTATTAGTTATTTCACTGATATCCGGTTGAACTTTGGCTTGGGCGATTGAGGTTTTTAGTTGCTTAGCATAATCGGTAATATTAGTTCCCTTCTTGCTGTTAAAGTTGTTTTCTCAATTATTCCCGCAAATATTTTTAATATCGCCTTGCATATTTAGCAAAGTTCAATATTTTTGAACGGCTTGGATAGCGGCAGTGCGGGCTTGTTGGTCGGCTTCTTTTTGGGCTAAACTATTTTTGGCACTGGCTCATATGTGCTTAATAGTCGCTTTGGTTTTAATTTGGTTCCCAGAAATATTTATCACTTCGCTATCATCATAATCATTATCAATTTGGGCTTCGGTTGGTAAATCGCTGCTTCGGGAGGCAGTTTTTATTTTCTTAATTATCTCATTTATCTTATCTAATTCCTGTTTATCAGTTTTGGTAGCATCTAAATTTCGGTCGGTTTCATCATGACTGCTATATTGAAGAATAACTGCTCTGCCAGAAGAATCAAGTTCAAACTGGTCGGCTAATCAATCGTTTTGAGCCACTTGGGAAGCGATATTTACCTCCACTGACCCATTTTTGCTATAAGCCCATATTTTATCCTCCTCGGCGAGGGTTCGAGGCAGAGAGACAGGTCACCCATGAAAAGCATCAATCCAAATTTCTTTTTGGGCTTGGGCGAATGAAGTAGTTAGAGGGTAAA